TGGAGGTTCACCTTCTTCTTCACGGTGGTTTGCGGCGCTGCAACTTCATATCTGGCTCATGCCAGATCAGCGCCTGAGCTCACAGGCTCAGGGCATGATGAGATGCTGTTTTCAACAGTGGCCATCTTTGGAGGCTGGGGGTCATAGGGAGAAGGGGAAGTTTCACTGAAATTCGCTGAAGTGTATTGTTGGGGGTTAATTGGAGAAGGAACAGATTTCGTGGTTGAGAGACTCTTGGAGTTATTCGGTTGACTACAGGAGAGAAGGGGGTGTAATAAATAATTGATTGAAACATTTTTCTCTCAATTTTTATATCTGGCTTTGGCTTCCGCTGTGCAATATCTCTTCATGGTTATGATGTGAATCTTCTCTCCAGTCTGCCTGTCACTGCAGATGTGTATGGGAACATTTGAATGCGGGTTTGAGTTGTGAATCAATCGAACACACACAAACACACACACACACACACACACACACACACACACACACTTATGACACGTGTACTAAAATAAAAGAGGGAAAAAAGATGCTGTCTTTGCCACATAGAACACCCGGTCACTATAGCAGTATCTGGCGCAAGTTTGTCCGGACGGCCATAATGACCGCACCTTCTATTTGGGTGAAGACAGTACTGGTGGTGGTAGTAGGAGTAGGAGTAGTAGTACCATAGCAGTTAGTATCATAGTAGTAGTAGTGGTAGTAATAACGAGGAATGGCAGTAGCACTAACAGGAGTGGTAGACTAAGTACTATGGAGCCCACAAGATGGGTTCTTGTAGAGGTGGAAAGGTCATCAACCATAGCAGTTAGTATCATAGTAGTAGTAGTGGGTAGTAATAGCGAGGAATGGCAGTAGCATTAACAGGAGTGGTAGACCAAGTACTATGGAGCCCACAAGATGCGTTCTTGTAGAGGTGGAAAGGTCATCAAAGTGGATAAAAACGTCTGTTTTTCATTCCACCAGCTGGCCGAGGATCCAAATTTTTCATTCCTGCAAAGGCCGCAACCAGTACTGCCTTCATTTCCCAGAGGCCGGTACCGGTCACTTTCAGGCTCAAAAAAACACATTTTTTGGTTCGTCAAAACCGGCCTGGGTGAACGGTGGTTTCACAGCCTAATACAACCTTGGGCCCAGGTATGGATGATGGTACACCACTAGCCTGAGGTCAACCCATCTTGCACAACACTTGATTAAGGAGGTAATAGTGACAGTGTGTCCTGCGTGTAGCGGACATCATCTGCACTCAGTACTCCCATCTCCCCTGCCTGTTCCATCTCTGTAGCTGTTCTTCCATCTCTGCAGCCATGGCAGTATGGTTCCAATAAGTGGGAACGGTAGCAGCTATGACAGTATGGTTAGAGTAATAGTAGGAGCAGTAGTTCAGCCAGTGGTCAACGTAGAATCAACACTAAGTCCACGCACAAGGGAATCAGAAACACACCTGGCTGGGGTTGTTTGGCAGGTTCCTTAAGTCACTAGTACGTTTGGCGTCCGGTTTCGACAAGTCCTGGCCAGTACCCGAACTTTCAGGAGGCCGAGCCCGACGTTGATCAATCTGATCGGCGGCCGTCATTTCGTTTCGGGCTCCTGAAAGGTCGGAGGCCGAGCATTTTCGAACCGACAAAGGTACTGGGGTTTTAAAACAATTCTGGTCCAACCAGGAATCCATTCAGTGATCGGAGACTGGGAGGATTATGGCAGGCTTTCAAAATCTTCCCTCCCAACACTGGCAGACTACCTCCTCAGCACTGTTGGATGTGGCCTACTGGAGATAGCAGGGGGACATGGAGGAGGGCATCCCTCATGCTAGTGTTCGAAACGATCAATCACAATTGCCATTGGTTGCTAGACTCCTTAAACCATTCCCACGGAATGCCAGTCGGAGGTGGTAATCCATGCCCAGGACAACCCCCTAGCTGTTTCAGGCCCCCGCACAAGGTTTTTCCAGATTGGAACTCCTCTAACCCAACAGAACCTGCAGACGCAGTTGGAGCTCGTGTGTTTTCTCCCGTCACACGCAACAGAATGTCCACTACACGCAGAAGCCAATGATCGTCAGCCTCCGATAAACCACGGTCCTGTGGGGTCTACCCTTGCAGCTCCTGGTCAGCACGGAGGCGGTCCCAGGGATCTTACCTGTGGCGGTATGGCTGCCACGTGCTTGGGGTCTACCCTTGCAGCTCCTGGCCAGCAGGGAGGTGGTCACACGGATCTTCAAGCGCCCCAACACAGTGCTTGACCCGGTGCTCAAAGTGGAAGTTGAAGCAGTTGATCGATGGTGCGCCTCCTCAATAGTGAAAAAGTAGCAGGTAGGTACTGCTGAGCACTCTGACAGCTTGCTCCCATAGCATGGGCCTTCAAGCAGCCATAAATTCTATGGATAGCCTTTACCTAGGTGTGCATATGTGACACTGTGGCCGTGTCTGGCGAGCATCCTCCAGTTTTCATCTGGTTGCTTCATTGCATGTGCGGTTGTGGGCGTCCTGTACATCCTCTTTTGCATTCCATGCTGTGAGAATAGCCCTGAGAAATGGGAACATCACGTTCCGGTGCATTCTCAAGGACCCTGTTGCAACAAGTTTGCATGCAAACACACTACGCGTTGTAGCCCCAGGCTTGTCCTCCCATGGATGTGGCAGCTGTGCAAACACTTGCTCATTGGCAAGAAATCACAACGTCAATCAGCGTTCGATAGATGAAGGCACTCTGGATATCCCTCTCGCGAGAACACACCATCATACCTCTTTGAGAGAGAACAGTGCATTGATTGGGCAAATACTTCAGTTTGCATCACATTATGACTTGCACTCTGCAAAATTGTGCAAATCCCTATTACAAGGACACAGCACAACATACTATCGACTAAATACGAAGCACACCTAGAAGTCAGCAGAAAGTAATTGAAACATACGTCCTTGAGAAAACGGTGTCCTGTTGGGCAATCACAAGTGCCTCAAACGGCTGCATGATAGCACAGTGTTAAAAACATACGTTCTTGAGAAAAACAGTGTCTCCTGTTGGCCAATTGCAAGTGCCTCGCACAGCTGGCTGGTGATTTGCTATGCATACTCTCTCTCTCTCTCTCTCTCTCTCTCTCTCTCTGGCGAGCGCATCTCGCATCCATGTTGGAACTCATAAAGCACACATGCCTGACAAATGTTGTTGTAGTGTTTCGTCCAATCTTTCATCATGACCAAAGACAGGATACACAAAAGGAAGGCATCGCAGGCATCGCCACTAGCAGTTGTAATGCAGTAAGAGGGAGGAGGAGAGGAAGGAGAATGAAGTCTAGGAGTGGAAGGACGATGGACGGCAGTAGTCGGAGGAAGACGGGGGAAAGGACGGAACGAGGAAGTGCAGGAGCAGCAGGAGGAACATGTGGGAGAGGAAGAGGATCTTGAGCACAAGCCTGACGAGGAGGAGGACAAGAAGCAGGACAGAGGAGAAGCCGGTGGAGAAACAGGAGCAGCAACAGGACAAGGAGGCGGAGCAGGCTAAGGCGAGCAGCAGGAGGAGGGTCAAGGGTAGAAAGAGCAGGAGCAGGAGGTGCAGCAGGGGCAAGAGCAGGCGGAGGTGCAGGAGTGCAAGGAGGCAGCGCAGGAGGAGGATGAGAAAGAGACGGTCGGAGGGGGAGGAGTAGGCATAGGCCAAGGAGGAGAAAGATAGGCAACGGAAGAAGGGGAGCTGGAGGATGAAAAGCAGCAGGAGACCGAGAGCTGAGGGAGGGGTGGGATGAGGAAGTTGAGGAGGGGTGGCGGGCGGGGGAGGAAAAGGCAGGAGAATGAGAAGCAGTGGAGGGGGTGGATAAGGAAGTAGAGCAGAGAAATCAAGAGGAGCGCAAGGAGCAAGGGGAGCTTGAAGAGAAGGAACAGGAACGCAGGGGGAGCAAGATAAGCCGGAAAACCAGGAGCAGCAGCAGCCGGAGGAGTGGCAGATTGACTATGACTACAACGAAAAGAAGTACGTGGAAGAGGAGAAGGGCAGGGGGAGGAGGAGGAGGAGTAGGAGGAGGTGGAGAACGAACAGGAGCAGCTCGTGGCACCACAGGCAGCAGGAGTACGAGCAGGAGCAACGACAGGAGGAGGAGGACAAGCAGCAGGGAGCAGCAGCAGGAGGAAGAGGACGGGAGGAAAAGAGCGGGGGGAGCATGAGGACCAGCAGGAGGAGCAACAGGAGCAGTGGGTGGACAAGCAACTGGAACAGGAACCGCAAGAGGAGGAATGGGAGAAGGCACAGAAGGAGCAGGAGGAGGAAAAAACATTAGGATCCGCAACAGGAGCTGAATAAGGATGACAAGAGGGAGAAACAACCATTATAGAGAGGAGGAAGAGCAAGAGGAGGGCAAGATATTGGAGTAGATAGAGCGGAGGAGCAGGAGGGACAGACAAAGGAGCAGGAGCAGGAGCAGGAGCAGGAGCAGGAGCAGGAAACATGACAGGAGTCGGGTGAGAGAGGGAAGGATGAGGAGGAGGAGAGGACTAAGCGGAGGACGAAGTGAAGGTCAAGAAGGAAGAAGGAGAGAAAGAAAGAGGAGGAAGAGGAAAACGAGGAGAACAGGAGGCGAAGAATAAGTGAAAGGATAAGAAAGGCAGTGGAGGAAACGAACGCCCCAATACTTCATATGCACTAATACACCTTTTAGCAGCCAATGGACTTTATGCAAATAGGAAGCAGTAGGATCAGGAGAAGCAGCAGGAAGAGGAGGAGGAGGAGGAGGGGGGGGCTGTCTCAAACTTCTGACTTGCACTTCTCACTTTTAACTCTTACTTACTTATACTGCTTCACATCAATACTTCACAGAGTATGCAGTTTTACTGTTTTCGCTTGAGGAAGTCGTCTCTCACGTGTAGCAGTTCTTTCCTGCATATTGTACTTACTCTAACCACTTACGAGGAGGAGGAGGAGGAGGAGGAGGAGGAGGAGGAAGAGGAGGAGGAGGCTATCTTAAACTTCTGCTGACTTGTACTTCTTACTTCAACTCTTCCTACTTATGCTGCTTATCCATCAAATTAGTTTTACTTTTCTTACTACTTACGCTGCTTATGCACAAATAATTTACACCGTATGCAGCTTTTCCTATTTTCAGCTGCAGAAAATGAAGTCGTCTCACGTTTAGCAGTTTGGCCTGTATATTCTATTTCACTTCGAACTTAGTTCGAAGCCCTGACCACATACCCTGTTACCTTAGCCACATACCCTGTTACCTTAACCACATACCCTGTTACCTTAACCACATACCCTGTACCCTGTTACCTTAACCACATACCCTGTTACCTTAACCACATACCCTGATACCTTAACCACATACCCTGATACCTTAACCACATACCCTGATACCTTAACCACGTACCCTGTTAGGCTGTTACTTTACATGTCAAAATAATATACAATGTATGCAGCAGAGGAGAGTGTTTCCGGCTGAGCTGCGACCCGAAAAAAATAAAATAAATAAAGCCTGTCAAGACCCCAGACTAATAGACTACATGAACATCAGTTGGTACATACATGAACTGTTGAAATACAGACCTGAGTTCGAATGCGGATGCAAGCAGATGAGGAGTTAAAAATAAAAAATAAAAAAAATCCTAGGCCTAGTGGAGTACAGTTTTTACCTGTATCATGTATACAAGAGCAAAACATGGCACCACCCTGTACTATATATGCCACAACATGAAACACAATATAGTGCCCCCTTGTCCACATCTTTAATATTTTATTATAATATGATATTTAATTAAATTCATAGTCTTTGATACAACAATATTTTATTACATGATTTATATTCCATTACATAATTAATATTTTGCATATTATTAGTATTTAATATTTATTATCGCGTCAACAGCTTCCCATAATCCACTATACATTTGTCGCTGAGTTGACCCATGAAACTTCTCTCTCTCTCTCTCTCTCTCTCTCTCTCTCTCTCTCCTCCATGCACTTCCTCTCCCACCTGTTCTTGTTAATGACCGATACAGGCCTCAATATATTCTGATCTGTCTTGGCAAATCAAGCTCTGGTTGCTTCGTCACCCGCCACATCTTTGCAGGATACAACTCTCACACAAAGCCTCTCTCTCACCTGGAACTGACGTCGTACCCTCCCTGATGTCCACCAAAATCACCACCATGAGTCCTGTACTGGTTGAGAGTCGTCTTAGCTTGTCACTATGGCAGCACCTTTCTACCTGTCTCCTTCCTGTACCGGTCAAGCAACCAATCAAAGCGACTGAGAAAAAAAAAGAAAAAAAAGAAAGGACTGCCTCAGTGAAGAGTGGAGAGATAACTTGAGTCTTTCACAGATACATTACAGTGGAAATCGCAAGATCAAAACTGTGTTCCTTGTGCACGACAAGGAAAGGAAATCTGTAAACCTAGATACCTACAAAAACAATAAGCCTCCTGATGAACAAGTTGCAGTCGGCGATCATCAATCTCACCAGAAACATCTTCACCAGTTTATCGAACTTAGACAGGAGTCCGGCGGCGGTGGGCAACAGATCCCCGACTCTGACTGGTCCCATTAAAAAATACAGAGACTCCAACGAAAAGCCAGAGATCAGGAAACCTGCAGTGACACTTGGGCTATCCACCCCCTTGCATCTGGTCCTCGTCGAACAAGCGCCTACGCGAACCAGTCTGCGGAAGTCCCCTGGACGATCCGCGAACGCCAACGAGTTGTCATGTTCCCCGCATTCGTCGCACCCGCTCACGGACAAAAGCTCTTCAGTCCTCACAAGTTCTGAGGCACTCTCAGAAGTTTCTCAGACATTCGCAAAAGTTGCTCAGAAGTCCTTTCCGAACTTTCGCAGAGGTTTCTGAACTCTCTCACATGAAGTTTCCCTGTAGTCTTGCAGAGTCTTCTAAAAGTTCTGACAAGTTCTCAGAAGCTACGAGAAGTTCTCAGACGAGTCGGAACATATCAGAACTTGTCAAAAACAGTCGGGAGTTTTCAAAATTTCCTACAGATTGGCAGAATCCTCAGAGCATACCAGGTCTTCACCAGAAGCTCTTGAGAGTTAAAAGACTACAATAGACCATAGACGGATAAACGCTCTCACAACCAGTCTCGAAGTCAGTCGTCAAGAGCGAGATTAGAGGTTCCCTCAAAGCGTATGACAGGCCATAAGAAAAGAAACGCTTACCCGTAATGTCCTAGAACTTCTAGGGGATTTTATCACAGGTTTTTACTGGTTCCAGTGGTTCGGGTGATGTAACATCACAAGTACTAAGAGGCTGTATTATCAGCACTCCTCAGGAGTCGCTAGAGGTGGCAATCTACCTAACATCGATCGCAAGGAAAGAAAGGTGCGCACTGTCCAACAGCTAGACGATGTTATGTTATCTCCCATGCTTGAAAAGGGTGAGCATCTCTCCTCTCGAGGTCTCACCACCACCCAACCAGACAAAGGGCATGCATGGATGGAAATGACCCTTACATGGCCCATCTCCAGGATCCAAATGACCCTTGTATGGGCCCATCTCATGGAGGTGAATGACCCTTGGATGGCCCATCTCAAGGACTCGAGGGACCCTTGTATGGCCCATCTCAAGGATCCAAATGCGACCCTCGTATGCCCCATCTCCAGGATCCAAATGACCCTTGTACGGCCCATCTCAAAAATCAAAATGACCCTTGCATGCCCCATCTCAAGGATCCAAATAACACTTGTATGCCCCATCTGAAGGATCCAAATGACCCTTGTACGGCCCATCTCAAGGCCCCGAGTGCGGGGACCCCTGTATGCCCGTCTCAAGGATCCAAATTACCCTTGTCGGTCCCATCTCGAGGATCCAAATGACCCTTGTGGTGCCCATCTCAAGGATCCAAACGACCCTTTTAGTCTCCGCAAGTGCATGTTTCTCTCTGCCTGGCCTCCTGCGCAGCTGGCAAAAGAAATATTCGCCCGACCCGGACTTCAAATCAGAGTTCAGGCATTGCAGAGAGGCATGACATAATACTCCTTTCCAAAACCAAAATGGAAAGGAACGCAAAAAAGAGATGAAGTCAGAGCTAGAGCCCTCAAAAGCACCCTTGGAGTTCTTCAAAGATGCACTCAGGGATTCTTCGAGACTATGGGCACATCTAGCAGGGGCCGAGCTTAGTCAGAGATCGAGGCAATCCGATTCGCAACTACAGACTAGGAACAGCAGAGGAAGTTCATAGGAGGACTAGAATTCATCGTTTTGAATTTCGGACGCACCCATCATCGCCATCACCATTCATTTCCAGGGCATGTGACAAATGACTTTTTTTTTCAAAATACCGATCTGCTTTCTCACCTGCTTACAACGACCATTGCCGCAGCGTTGTATCGCTTCTGTTTACAGATGATGCGACCCCCCTGGCCTGTGACAATATCTGTCTCCTTCTCTGAAAAATGAGCCAATCACCTCTCTAGGCCGGCCACTCTTCCTTGGACCCTTACCTTTCCTTTCTCCCTTCTCTCTAAAGACCGGCCACCCTCACACTCACCCTATGTATGCCCTCTTTCCTTCCCCTCCCACCTCAAGAAGGGGTAAACCAAGCCTTATCAGCACCCATCCTTCAACTCACCTTACCTTTCCTTTCCCCTGGGAAACCCAGCAGAAGGTGTGCGGTGTGCGAATTACAGGAAGCTGCAGCGTACAGGAGAAATTGTTTCCACAGCCATCTGCATCTGTTTTAATGCACTCTTTAGATTATGTGCGCACTCTGCAGAGTTTGTCCATGAAATCCGTGCCGCTGATTCCGGAATCAAGGAGTAGTTCTCACTGCCATGGATCGCCACAACCAGAGCCTCTCCATTCGGAGAGACCACTCACTTGCAGTGCAAAATATCTGCTGTACCTTGCCTTGTAGCAGCTTGACACTACTCTCCTCCTCCCCCTCCTCCCCCCCCCCCCCATCCAAAGAAAACAAAAACAAAAAAAAAACCTTGTCTGCGACTCTGTGAGCGTGTAGGCGAATAAAGCAACAGCTTCAGTTAAAGCAAAACCTAAAATGGGTAGGGGTCAGAGGTGAGTATCTTCCCTCCGATCCGTTCGTGACAGTTTCCCGTCATACAGCTCTCCATCAGCGTTCCGTCTCACACTCCCAGACGGGCCAACACTGCGTTCCTCCTGGATGTTCCAGGCCGGGCCAGCGGCACGGGTTGCGTGCCCCCCGCGATCACCAAATGGAATTAAATAGGCCGCCGCTTCGCGGCGGTAACCGTCAACACTGTGCGTCTGTGTGGGTGTGTTGTCATGTGTTCTCTATGCACAACTCCTTAAAAAAAAAAAGCGTGACTGTACCAGACTGTTTCGTTGGAACGTTCACCAACTCGGCAGGAGGTCGTGTGTGCGCGTGACACGCATTCTGAAGGAAGAAGAATAGATTCAGATTGAAAAAAAAAAAAGGCCAAAACCAATGAACGAATCAAACCGACCTCTAAGGCATGGGCCCCTTCTTCCACCCAATAACTCCCTCCGGCAAAAGGACCAGAAAAAAAGAAAAAGAAAAAAAAAGCGGGGAAAAAATGACGGAAACAGCCAGCCTTTCGGTGAATTTTCCCTCAAGAATGCAGGCTTCGTATCGCCATAGCACTACTCCAAACAATGGTCAAAAAAATGTCTGAAATGGCCTGCGCGCGATTTCCCATGACGGACACCATCACCTTTAGCAAAATGGCTTGCCCTCGCCTTCAAGAAGCGATTCAAGAAAATGGAAAACCGCTCCTCTCACGGGGAAGGACATGCGATTACGAACCAAACGAGGCAGCGGCAAAAGCCCACCCTTTCGGGTAGAGTTCGTTATTGCGAATTCGCAGCGTGTAGCTAATGAAATAACAGGGGGGAGAAGAGGTAAAAGAACAAAAGAAAAAAAGAGGAAAACAAACGAGAGAGGTGGTAACCTCACGATATCTCAAACAAACACAAAGACCTGGAAGTCGAGCCTCTGAACACAAAACCCAGCTGAAGTATGACGTTAAAGGCCCCGGGCCCACAGCGCTGCCTCTGTAGCCACGCAGCAAGAAGTTGGTCAATCGGTTCATGTTATAGCGTTGGACCAGTCATAACACCAGGTGGGCCCGACCCAGAATCGCTGATTCAGAATCCAGTGGCCCTGGGCATAGCTCGCTCGGTAAGGCGCCAGACTTGTCATTAGGAAGGTCACGGGTTCGAGTCCCCACTTGGTTTCTTGTACAACCTCATCTAGTGCACACTCTTTGTGACTACCTCAGCCTGTCTGAAGACGAGCAATTGACACCCCCAGCCTGCATTAGCAGGAACTTAGCTTGGCTAGTTGTTGGCTATTCATTGGCTATTCGACATTGCTAATGCAGG